GCCCTGGCGTGCGCACCCACCCGCGGACAGGGCGCCGGCCCTGCGTGGGAGGCTCCGGCCGCGGCTCGGAATAAAACCGTCGCCACGGCGCTGGGGTCGGGCCCGCGCGAGTCTCCGCTCCTCCTCGGCCTGCCGCCCACGGCTGCTTCGTGTCAGCCCCGGTCACGACTCTGCTACGCACTTCACCCCCATCTCTCAGCTCCGCCGCTTCCGCAGACCCTCCTCACGTGGCCGCCTCCTCCAGCCCCGGCACTCCCCCCCGACTGGGCTGCGGACCCTGGCGCACTTCGGGACCCCGAGCTGCTCCCACCCCTAGGGACATCACCCCTCTCGGACCCCCCCAACCCACATCTTCCGCCCCGGGGGCGGGGGTAGCCACAAGCTGTCAGAAGCCTAGTTTTACACATGACGAAGCTCACCCCTCACCCTTATACATCTCCACTCACCCTTCAGCCTAGCTTCGAGCTGAATCAGATATTTAAAACGGGGTGGAGGGTGGTCTTGATTTTTCTCCCTAGTCGGAAAAAAAAAAAAAGACGCAGCTCTGACCATCCACTCGCTTTAAGACTCCCCACGTCTTCCCACCAAATGCAAGACTTGTAGAATACAAATGCCCACCACACACCTGCTACGCCACTCGCTCTCTGGAAACCTGGAGACCCACCCAGCCCGCCTTCTGGAACCTGCGCCGGGGGGGCGGGGGTGTGTTGGAAGCGACGCCGTCCAGTTCCCTAAAGTAAGAAGGAGTGAGAGGGGAATCAGGCACCCCGGCCCCGCCCGGGAGAGTGGTCCTCCGGTCCCCCAGCTCCAGAGCACAGCACTGCATCCTCCGTCCCTCTCGGCGGAACGAGGGAGGTGGCCAAAGGCCTGGGTGCCAGGGGCTGTTTTTGCCTTTAGAACCCAGACACCGCGTCCTCTACGAGCACTCCCCCCCACCCCGCCCCCCGCCGCCGCCGCCTTATTTCTGGTCGACAGCAAAGGTAGGGTAGGTGGGAGAACGGAGCGAGTGCTCTCGAGGTTCGGGATGTTAGTCTCCGCGGAGTGAAGAGGTGGGATCTCGAAATGGAAACAGTCTCCCCCCTCCCTCCCCTCCTCCTCCTCTTCTGTTTACCTCAAGTTTGAATTTTATCTGCGCAACATTAGCTGGAATGCGGACATTGAAAAAAAAAAAAAAAAACCACACACACACTCTCTCAAACCGGCAGCAGCTCCGGAGGAGCCATGTGGCATCAAGCCACCTCAAAGGGGAAAAAAGTGCTCTTAGCAACACAAACATGGCGAAATCGCCTCGGCATTCCCGGATAACGCCACAACCCCTACCTTCCCTCGCGCGGCTCGCCAACATCCCGGCCGGGACCTGCGGCCCCTTCCGGGGAGAGGCGAGGGACCCCGGGGAGTCCCAGGGTGGGACCGCCGGGCGTGCGAAAGAGGAAATAACAGAGTCCACAGTGGAAATGTTTCTGCTGGACCATCGAACCCTCCGCCTCGCCAGCAGCGAGAGGATGCCTCGTTCACCTCGAGAGGTCCAAACGGAGAACAAAATTCCCATACCAAAGTCCTGCTGGGCCGGCTTTCCCCACCCTCCAGAACTTACCTTGGGGCTGAACACACGCTGCTGCTTAAATCCCTTTCTCTTTCCTTCCTCCGGAGCGAGACGCAAGGGGGGAAATGATGCGCATGTATATTTGTAGAACATATTCTTCTAGAATGCCCCTTTGATCATCACGAGGAGCGATGGAGGCTCCGGAGACAGGTGCAGTGCTGGCCGAGGCTGCCGGCTAAAAGTTGTTCTCTTTGCGGTGGGCAGCAGGGTCCCCGGGCCGGGGCTGGGGACCGGGTCTCCCTTCCCCCCCGGCGTCGCCCACTTCCCGCGGGCTGCTGCTGCGTGCAGCTCGGCTGCAGGGGAGGTGGCGTAGTTTCTCTTCCTCCCACCTCTTCTCACTCACTTGTTTTTGTAGCCGTGGGCTCCCCTAATGCTTTCCTCTCCACAATGTTGTTTCATTATATCATGTCCATCATGTGACACCGGAGAGGCCTCTCTATGGAAACTTAAAGGGCCTCCCACGTGACTGCAGCAGCAACAACAGCAGCGGCAGGACTGGCGGCAGCGGCCGCAGCGTTTGTACCACCACCCACCGAGAGCCCCTCGCAGCATCCCGGAGGGGCTTCTGGCGCTGCAGAAGCCCAGATGAGTGAGCCACAGCATCCGGGAGCTGTGGCGTCTGTGCGTGCGTGTAGCCTTTTCTCATTACATAGGAAACCGAACAGAAGGAGCGTCCTTAAATCCTTTCCTACAGTCACAAAACCCACGCTCTGTTAAAATTACATTTCGTGGCTCCTACTTTATTTTCCCCAAGAGCAATGAGTTTTGTATCAGGTCCGATTAAATTTTACCAAGGGAAAAAGAAAAACTGGATTTGTCCCTCTGCGAGTTCAGCCTGCTGTTGAGTAGATCAGAAATGACAAAATAATAACAGAAATAGAATCAGGCATTTGATACATAATTACCATCACACCAGCTTTCAAGCTTTTCTGGAATTACATTCCTCCGGTAACTGTGTTGATGATGCTTGCAGGAGGCAAATGCAATGCAGTTTTTCTCTTCCGCAGCTATATTAGGGCTTTGTTGCTGACAACAGTAAAAACTTGTTTGTGTCAGGAAGTGAGGTACGACGATATGACCTGGAAGGTACAGACAAAACCACAGTGGCAGTTTTTGCATTACTTTTCTGACCACATTCTTTAAAATGGTGAGAAGCAGCTGATCTGCTGTAAAATGCGTAGTGTGTGTTTGGTGGGAAATCAAATAATCAGAAAAACACATTTTCCCCTTAATCATTGCGGACATGCTAGACACTAGAAATTACATATAGATTTACATATACATGCATATGTGTGTGTAGAGAAAAAGGCAAGTGTATGCCTTTTTATGACATTTTGAACCAATGATTTTGTCATCATTTCTAGCATTTAACTGAAGCATTTAACAAAAACTTTGAAAGACTTAAGTCCAGTGATGTGGAAACTGTAATATCAGCTTTGAGTGCCTTCAGTGTTATTGAATCACAACCCCCAATCCTAAATCTCTGCCTTAAAGATTGGGTGGACCATGAGATTTTATCCTGTAAATCTAAGCTAAACGGCTTTTTCTATGTTTTAGTTCATGCTTTTCCATTTGTAAGGAAAACTCCCTGTTGGTTTGGCAGAATTATGAAAAACTTTATAGGAAACTGAAGAATGGAACGGAAGATCATGCTTTCTTTTCGGCTTTGCCTTGACTGTATCTCTTTCCAGCTCATCAGTTTCCCTCATCAGCCATGATGCATGATCTCCACTACATCCTTTCTGATTCCTTAATATGTCCCCCAATATTTACCTTGCTATCTAAAGCCTAATTCTTCTATCCCTTTCCGCTTTTCTGCCTTTGCCTCCCAATTCAGCCCTGTGCTGCCTGGATACTTAGCTCAAGCCTCCCCATATATTCCCTCCCAATCCTCCTTCCCCAGCAGGTCCCCTCCTCCCCTTCCCTGCTCGCTCTCCCTTCTCAGCAACTCTACCTCCTTACCTCTCTTTGACCTCCTTTATTCTCCTTCACAGTCTGGCCCTCGACTTCTCGGCCTCTTCTTCCCCTTCTTTACCTGCAATGTCCTGCCTCAACTGGGGTCTCCTTCACACCCTTCTCTCTGGTCCCATCCCTGAGCACGCCGAACCCCAGCTTCCCTCAAGGGCTTGGCCTGGTCGGTTTCAGCCTGATTTTGTTCCCTTGCCCCTGAGCTGGGAAAAGAGTGTGTGGCGCAAAGTGGGGGCAAGAATCCCCCTCGGCGGTGGCCCCAGGCTGGTTCCCTCTCCGCCCCTCCCGAGTCCGGGTTGCGGCGCTTCCTGGGCGGATGGTTGGGACTTGCTGCGGCAGCTGCGGTTCTGCTGTGTCATGCAAGAAGGAGGCGGCGGCGGCGGCGGCCGGAGCTGGAGGGGGAGGAGGGGAGGAACCTGATCTCTCCAGCAGCGAAGGGCTGGAGGCAAACACCGAGTTCCCCCAGAGCCGCCCGGGAGCAGGGAGGGTTCCGCTACCCCGGGGAGCCCTCCCCGCGGGGCAGATGGTAAGTGGGGCGGCGCAGGTGGTCGCCTTGGGAAGGGAGTGCGCAGGGGGTTTAGGTGGGGAGGCGGGGAGAACTAGGAATCACCCCAGCCAAACTGAAGGAGTCCAGTGTCCAGCTGAAAGGGACCCAGGCCACGATACGGATGACCCGCGGCAATAGTTACCGTTCGAATAACGCCCCGCAGTTGACCCAGGCTACACAGAGGAGTTGTGCATCCTGAACTAAAGACCGAGCTAGAGGCAATGATTCAGAGTTAGAAAACCATCATCCCATCAGCCGTGGCGCTTTAGGGTACAGCTGGCTAGCAAAAGTCAACATACACCATATTCCTATAGCCTGGCTGAGCTTTACGGGTTGTCTTGTTTAACACTAGGAAAGGCTATGGAAACCTGCCCAACCTCACTTTAGCCACGAACATAATGCTCTTGGCCAGTGGCCTTGGACAAACAGCCTCTGGTGCAATTAAACAATCAATAGGAAAAATAGCTTCATTCCCTTCACCACCCTCCTTCCCCAAGCAGCTTCAACCAGGGTAATTTACTCCGCTTAAAGGAGAAAGAAAACTGCCTTACGTTCCCTCCGCCCACCCAGCCCCACCCCCGTCAGCCTCGGTCCTACCCAAACTGCCCACCCCACTATGCACTCCACTTTCAGACTGTGATTTATGTTGGTTAAGGGGACTGCCTTAAACTCTGAACAATTTCACCTCTGCACAATTTCACCTCTGCTGCTCTTTACCGGGAGGGGATTCAGAGATCTAGAACTGAAAGCAGTGAACAAGGGGACAGGCTGGGCATATAGGAACATTACTTCTTTTACCTGAATGCAATTCTCAGGACAACTTTTTAAAAAATTATTATTCTTTTCCATGTTGCTCCTGGAAATTTCAAAGCACTTTCTGCAACAGCTTTTTTTTTTTCTTCTTCTTCTCTTTAATGTCAGTCATACATTAGCAGTAAGGGGTTGGCGGGATTAACTGAAAGGCTAATGACTGTCTCAAAAGCACATGCTGTTGCTAGGGAACTCGAGCTCATCCTGCTCTCTAATCACTAGCATGTTATGTGGAAATCAAACTTCTCAGGGTGTTATTAAAATGAATGGCATTTGGTTAAAGGCGTCCTCGCTTGTGTTGTAGCATCCTGGATTATTATCGATCGCCTCACACCCACATATCTTGTTTTCCTAATTTGATTTCTGTATGTGCGTCACTGCCAGGGACACGCAGACTAGACCAGTTAGGTTCACTTCCTGTTTCTCAGAACTGGTTTATATTTGGTCTCGTAGCTTTAGCTGGTAAAACATTATCAAACTGATCCTCTTGGAAAGAAATCTGTGCTTTCCGTGGAAACAAATTATCCCAATTAAATTCTAATTCCCATGGAAAACGTCATCATTTGAGGAATAAAGTAGACTGCCAGTTGCCATTTGAGAAAACCATTCTTGAAATGTAAAGCCTAGAAAAACCCATCATCTTTATTTCTCTTACCGAGAATCTTGATTCCTCAGCATTAGAACTAAAACAAACCCAATTTGAGAGGAGATTTAAGTATGATATTTATAAAATAAAGCTAAAAAAATACACATTGAAGCTGAGGAAATCATTTAGACTAAATAAGGCATAGAACTGAATAGAATCCAGGCCCCAGAAGCACAAATAAGCTTGGTTTAGCATTGGGGCACTCAGAGAACAGAGTGTGATTACAAGGCTACACTACAAATAGGAGCCCATTTCTTTGTACTAATTGTCTCTTTTACCAATTCTCTTATGTTCCTGGATAAGACAGCCTTGCTTATTTTTCAGTTCCTTCCTCTTTATAACAAGGATATCACA